GTGATCTTTTAAACTGTCTTTCTCAAGTAATTCAACTGAATTTCACACTAAAAAATGGAACTGGGCCCGCGATCAATTGAAAATCTATAAATGCGTTGTGTACCTGAGCCTGCGATACAGTCAAGTGGCACTGGTCAGCGAATACCATTTCTTGACAGCTGTCAAAGGACCATAGCATAGATGTCCAATACCAAGTTAAAGACAGATACTGTATATGCATGCCTTGGACTCCCAGCTAATAAGTGTGACATTTCACATCCACTAAGATGAATGAGTGGACTTACGGACGTACGTACTGGCGATTTTCTATGAACCAAAATTTCTGGAATGCATAGATAAACAAATTTTCTTTCCCATGGTGCTTCGCGCGTGAAGGAGCTCCGCTTTCAGAAATCACACGTTTGATTTTCTCTCGCTAGTCGTCAACATGCAATTGGCCGTAAAATCAGTGGGAAGATCTTTTAGAAAGAACGCCTCGAGCTATTGAAAATGTTGTTAACGAGCCAAACACTGTCGAGCCTTCCCCACGACTCTCGTAAGCCTCTAGTCTCGTAAATCGCGTATACGACCGCCTTTTTAAAATACCCAAAATTTTCCACTGATGATATCACAAAAATCGGAACCTGTTGATTGAACTTTTAGAGCACGATGAAAATTTCGTATTGTTTTGCCCTATCGCCCTATTGCGCGAAATTAGAAAAACTACCTGTCAGCTTGCTAAGATTATGAAATTGCCAACGGAAAGATATGGTTTGGTAACCAATGTATCGTTTATAACGTCTAGGAATGCTTTTAGCTGAAATGATCTCACGAGTTAGATACTATCCAACTTTCCTGTCTCAGCGCCTCTCCGGCGTAAGAGTCTACCCTCATAACTCGCGTAAACGAACATCTTTTCAAATACCAGTTCTCTAGTTTTCACTGAGTGAATCACTTTAGTCGGAAACATTCGCTACAGCTTTTACAGTTGCTAGATTAAATTTTTGTATTGTTTTACCCTATCGTGAGCGACCACTTGACAAATATAAGCAAAAATTAGAATATCTTGCTGTCAGCTGATTATCACGTTATTAACGTTATTCTATAGGATAGTTAAAAATAGGAGGCCACCGGACAGTTGTGTGTTGGTATTCAATATAACGTTTCCAACGTCTAGGAATGCTTTTTGCAGGTACACTTCCTCCATTTGCAAAAGAGAGCTACCGCACGCAACTGCAATAAATTATGCAAGGCTTATGAAAGGGTTTAAATCCGCGCAACGATAGTCACTGACTCAGTCAGTACTTTAGAAAAGTATTCTGTTCTGGGTGAGCTCTCAGATCAATCATCATATCACAAGTTCTAAGAAAAAGGTATGTATCAATGCAGCGAGTTGATTTGTTCATCAAGTAGACCTTCTCTTCAAAGATTTTTAAGGGCTAAAGAATCGTAAAATACAACACTGTCANCTCGCGTAAACGAACATCTTTTCAAATACCAGTTCTCTAGTTTTCACTGAGTGAATCACTTTAGTCGGAAACATTCGCTACAGCTTTTACAGTTGCTAGATTAAATTTTTGTATTGTTTTACCCTATCGTGAGCGACCACTTGACAAATATAAGCAAAAATTAGAATATCTTGCTGTCAGCTGATTATCACGTTATTAACGTTATTCTATAGGATAGTTAAAAATAGGAGGCCACCGGACAGTTGTGTGTTGGTATTCAATATAACGTTTCCAACGTCTAGGAATGCTTTTTGCAGGTACACTTCCTCCATTTGCAAAAGAGAGCTACCGCACGCAACTGCAATAAATTATGCAAGGCTTATGAAAGGGTTTAAATCCGCGCAACGATAGTCACTGACTCAGTCAGTACTTTAGAAAAGTATTCTGTTCTGGGTGAGCTCTCAGATCAATCATCATATCACAAGTTCTAAGAAAAAGGTATGTATCAATGCAGCGAGTTGATTTGTTCATCAAGTAGACCTTCTCTTCAAAGATTTTTAAGGGCTAAAGAATCGTAAAATACAACACTGTCAACGAAGAAAGCCTTACTCAGTTACGTTGTAGACTTAAATTCTTTAACCGGGCCTTTTCTGTTATCTTGGCGATGTTTGTAAGAAAGTTTTATCGGCTTGTTAAAGAAAATTATGAATTATCTGCCCCTTGTACAAAGTTTACTTTATTACAATGCTTTGATCAGGCCAGCGATTTATAATGCAAGTGTCCTTTGGACTAATTGTGATAAGGAAAGCCTTGGGCGGGTCCTGAAGCTCCAAAAACAATCAGCTAGAGTAATCCTGAAATTAGCAGAAACTAATTTCGTGGACTGATTTGTAGCCTGTAAGCTCTGGACGTATTTCCGGTCGTCGCTTCTCTTCTGACAGGAAATACGTCTGCGATCGAAGGCTGACTAACTTATTTGCGGTCATCAAGGCCCTTTCCGTGCAGAAAAAACTTGATGGCGATTTGCTCAAAATAGTCATTCTTTGTTCAAGCAAACAAAGCTGATTCTGGTTGTTAGTTGCAGTCCTCGGATTTCCTTCTTTTAAAGTCTGCTGGCGACTCTTTCCAGTCTGTTCTAAGAACATGAAATGGGTGTAATAAATATACTTCATGTTACGATGCTATGACTTTGCCTTGCTCAGCATATCATTATTAAATTGTGCTATTTTTTGCGCTCCCTGGATTGAAATCTACGAAGCTGCTGGCTGCTGCAGCTACTTGTAAGATTCTCCTACTGACGAAGTATTAAAGTGATTCTCATTTATTGCTAACTTTTTAGGTCTTTGGAGTCAATTAGCAAAAATTCAGTTACGTCAGCGGACTGATTTGCAGCCAGTAAACGCAAAGGTATTTCCATTCGTTGCTTCTCTCCTGACCGGAAAATTTATACGTCTTAGCAGGCTGACTAACAGGGTAATTTTTGGTCATCAATGTCCTTTCTGTACAGAATAACCATGACCACGATTTCCTCAAAATAGTCACTCTTTGTTCAAGCACATGCACAAAGCTGATTCCTTTTGTTAGTTGCAGTGCCCCCATTTCCCGGCTTTTCTTTAAAGTCTACAGGCGACTCTTTCCAGTATTTTCTGTTAAGAACGTGAAAGGTGTTTAATATATTTTCATTTTACGAAGTTATGCGGACTTCTTCATGCCCTACATGAAGTCTACGATGCTGCTTGCTGCAACTACAGTTGTCAGATTCTCTTACTAACAATTAAAGTATTACTAAAGTGACTGTCATTTACTGTCCTTTGCGTTTTAGGTTCTCGAAGTCAATTAGCAGAAAGTAATTATGTGGGCCGATTTCTAGCCTAGAAACTACGATCGAAGGCTGTGCGGTCATCAATGTCCTTTCCGTTCAGAATAACCATGACCGCAATTTGCTCAACATAGTCACTCTTTTTTCAGGCAAACAAAGCTTCTGATTGTGAATTACAATCACCACTACCTTTTCCTTTAAGTCTACCGATTCCTTCTAGTTTGTTTTAAGAAAGTGAAGTGTCTTGGTTTTTACGAAGTTATGATTTCCCGGACGTACCCTAAAAATGTGCTATATTAATGAGCAACTCATCTCCTCATTGATTGTAGTCTACGAGCGGCAGCCGCTTCCTGCATCTATACTGAGAAGCCGCTTTAGTTACGTAGGTACTCCTTTGTTAAAAAATAGTTTTCGCAATTACTAGATCTAGATTTTAATCTAATTTTGTAGACCGAAACGTCCACTAACAAATGTAAGGGGTTCACTCTCTATTCTACTGCGTGAATTTTGTTAAAGTTTGCTGACTAAAAATATGTTCAATTTCATGACCATACTGATTTGTTTGCCCTTTTAAAACGTCAAAAGAAATACTCAAGTTCCTACATGTATACTCAGTGCACAGCTTAGCGATTACCGAATCTCTTTAAGCTTCTTTATGGGCGTTATCAATAACAAGCGAATAGCGATGAACCGCGTGGAATTTCTTGTAAAAGTATTTCAGGATAAACTATCCTTTAATTTCCTAATATTCTGAAGTGCTTTTTATGGGGCATCCTAAAAGAATTAGTTTTAAACGGTGTTTATTGCCTCTTGATATGTGGCAGACCATTGCCTCTTCTCTGTCCTTTTTATCCCACCCTAAATGGGCTCCCAAAGACAATACTCGTCACATTTGTTTAAACACTATCACGTTCCCACCTTTTCAATGTTGATTCACGCATTACCCATATGCAAATGCAGGCGAATCTCAGTACTGGGAAACTGCGGAGGGACACAAACGGAAATGTTAAAAAAGTCGGCCGAAAGGGCTTGACATGAACAATCATCAGTTTCAGTCTCGTGTTTTAACGAAATTTGACGACTTAACTGTAGCCCTTTCATGACTGATTACGTTACCTTGGGCCTTTGCTTCGATCTTTCCTAAAGATGTTTGTTGCGTGCATGATTTAAATGACGAAAGTCTGCTGCCAGGACGCATACCACTAAAAAGATATTTAATTGTACTAGAAATACGTATCTTGCAAACCCTGGCGAAACTTGGTGTTGCAGACAAGTAAAGCGGAGCTAACGGTCGCTGTTAGAAAGTGGCCGTGAGTGAACAGCCGCCGATTATGTAGAGGACTCCTACTTTCTCTGTCTTGTCTAATTTGTCTTCTTTCTTTTTGTTTCATTGTCCTATTTGATTCTTAAATGCATATTTCGAAATTCATGTTTTATATTACTTCAGTCGCCGGATTGAAAAAATAAATGCAAGTTTCACACTCGGATTCAACGGCCGATCGATGTACCGGGCTGTAACCAGCTGTAAGCTGCAATAGGTCTTTGATCCATTGGCGTGGAATAGTCCTGTGGTGAGGACTCCTACTTTTTCTCTCTTGTCCTCTTCTCTTTTTTTTTGGTTTTTTGTTTTTTGTTTTTGTTTTATTGTCCTATTTGATGCAAAATGCTTATTTCAAAGCAGTATGAATCAATAGCTCACTGACCGCCTCATTAATTCATTTTCACAGGATCAATATCTAAGAGCAGTGGAAATCATGAAGCTCGTGGTTATCATTGTCGCCGCGTCGGTTTGTGTCAACTTGCATTACTGCGAAGCAGAAGATAAATCAAGAAGACAAGTAAGATCAACTGCCCTTTTTCGTTTCCAAGTAACTACGTTGCTTATTTTTGAAAAGAGGTAAAAATATAAAAATTGCTTAATGGCACTTTTCAAAGTTTAACGGCAACCTTTTGGAACTCGGTTGTTAAGAACTGAGAGACAAACGAGAGAAAGATAACAATCCCAGTAGAGATAATAAATAATAGTTTTCCAATTCCTCTTGGCTATCGGCAATAATCGTCTTATCCTTTGTTCTTCCTTAATTAACAGCCAATTTGCACCTCTCCTCTACGTTAGTAAAGTTGAAATGAATACCCATGTACTAATGGTGTAAATACGAAGAATGTTATTCGCAAACGAGGCTTGGAAGTGAAATTTGCTTTTCTGACATAATCACGCATCCAAAAGAAAAAATAAATTAATAATTATCGAATTCCAAAAAAATAGCAAATTTTTTGGGGGAATATAATTGGTTGATAAAATTAACTAAACAATTCTAATCAATTACTAACAACAATTCAAACTGACAGAAGGGGCAGGCACTTCGCTAGTCATTTGAGTCAGATATCAAAATATGACTTCCTTACTTGAACTGATCGTGAAATAAACGTTATGCTAATTACTAGACTCTTCACAGTCCCCTATTTTTCCGTAAGATGGTAGAGATCGAGCGCTTTGCGTTACGAGCTACCATCTTGCATGAGTTTCAAAACTACTTTGGGGGTGGGGGCGGTTTGGGAGGAAGCCAGAAAAATAGAGGGACTGTAATAACATCACTGCAGCTCGCGTTCAGGAGGCGTGACAGGAATTTCACGCCTTTTACCATTCATTAATTAAGAAACTCCACTAGCGATGACAAACATGCCAGACACATTTAGCATCGATTTCGCTTGTTTACAAATGTCTCCTTTCGAAAAGTGATTTTATACAGTTTCTAGGCCATTCCTCCAAATAAAATCGGCAAACATGCACAGTTGAAACATTTTCCTAATCGAAGCGCTAAGCATGCTCGCTTCACCACAGATTAGAACGGTTAAACCTCCCGATAAAAAGCCAGGCATTTCTGACAGGTCGTCTTTCTTTGCATCGGCGTACCGTTAAATTTCAATTCGTTTGACAAAAACTGTGTTACAACATTCCCCTGCCTGGGCTGCTTTAAAAGCATGTTAGCTTACGTGATTCATCCGCAAAATATCAAAATCCTTCTTGTGTTTGCGCAAGATGTATTATGAAAGCGTACGTTTTATAGAAACGACGACTTGTCAGTGTCGGCAACTTAAACTAAACCTGTTGTCAACGCAAATTAACATCTACTGTCTAATGACCAATTAAACGCCTGCGTTGCTGGTACAACGCGCTATATGTCGACAATCTCACGAAAAAATGGGGGACTGTGAACAGTCTAGCTAATTACAGTTACTAATGGATATATATATATATTTATAAGCTATAGCTGATGCTCCTCAATCAATTGAGTCGAGCGCTCTACGAAATACGTTCTACTCAAAAAACGAATTTATATATATATATATATATATATGATGATTTTTAACTCATTTACTGTTGGCAACGATCACACTCGTTTTCAAAAAGGTTGACATTATGTTCTTTATATTAGACTAATCTCGGCTCTCGTAGTGGAGTTTAGAGTTTTTTTGGCTGCCTTGAGCAAAGTTTTCCGGAAGGCATCATTAAGCCTTATGAAGGAACAATTCTCACGTATGGCAAAGTCTGCTGCGTCCAATATCTTCTCGTATTTCGTCTCACTTCGGGCTACACGGGTGAAAAAGACTGATCCCGGGCTTGAGACTAAAAGACTGGATATTGCGAGCTTTGTTGTTGGCAGTAACAAGTCTTTGGCCTTACAAAGTAGGTTCTAGGGATGAAATCTATTCGGCGAAATGGAAATTGACGCTGATTTCTAACCAGGCAAAAGACTTAGTAAAAACTTGTTTGGAAGGCGGGGGCTGTATGTCTCCTTTTCAACTGCTGGTGTATATCCGGGATCTTTAATAAATCTGTAATAATCTTTACTAACAACTAGGATGGTTGAGGATTTATCTCTAGTACGGAACTACACAGCATGGCCGAAGCTTACACACTAATGATTATGTACGCATGCGTACGGAAATACCGCTGATCATTACAACTTTTCCCTAAAAAAAAAAAAAAAAATACAAACAACAGAGAAGAAAACAATCAAGCATCCAGCAATTGCTATGTGTGAAAACCAAAAACAGTTAATGTTCACAAATGTTAAACACTGTCCTTGAATCATAATGGTCTCCGCGAAAAGAGAACAGATGTTCAATGTCCACAAATGTTAAAGATAGTTCTTAAATCGTAATGGCCTCCGTATGGCCCTTCCACTCCCAGTCTTCTATTGTTCTGACGTCTCCAAAGAGCCATCGCCTGAATGATTTCTCTCTAGTTCGTGGGACCCTGAGACAGGTTCTTCCACAACTGGGTTTCCTTGACTGTATTGTTCGCTGCAAGGTAAGTTTCCATTTATGCTTCCTGGTGGAGGTTCATGAAAATGTGAGTCATTTGTCCATGCAGGACCACAGCCTGCAGTTTCATCAACATCTTTCTATTTCTGCGGTATTCTCCACCATTATCGGTTTGCACTTTGTAAGACCTAGGTGTTTCTGCATGGTCCACTACCACCCGTGGTTCCCAGCGATTTCCCATGCGTACCCTGATCTGTTTGCCTTTTTCTAAAGCTCGTAGCTGTCTGGTGTGCTGATTAAAATAGTATTTTTGCTTCTCTTGCTTCAGCCTTAACTTCTCCTTTACTTTGTTTGGATCGAGGACTCTGGGTTGCAGTTGAGCTTCAGTGGTGGGGATAATTGATCTGAGTCGTCTATTCACGAGAAGTTGCGCTGGTGAGCCGACCTCATCAATAGGAGTGTTCCTGTATTCTAATAATCCTAGATATGGATCACGGTTGTCGTGCTTTGCTTTTGTTAGCAGATTCTTTACCGTTTGAACTGATTTTTCAACAAGCTCATTCGCTTGTGGGTAGAGTGGACTGGTGGTGGTGTGTTTGAATTCCCATTGTTTCGTTAATGACTCAAATTCCTTGGATGAGTACTGAGGACCATTGTCACTGATTACCTCACATGGTATTCCATGACGCGCAAAAGCAGATTTGATGTGGGTGATGACCGTGTTACTTTTGGTGTCTGGTAGTTTGGCTACTTCAAAAAATCGCGAGTGGTTATGTAGAATGAAGAGGTATTCTGATTTATTCCAGGTGAACAAGTCTGTTGCTACGTTTTCCGAAAGCCTCCCAACGAGGGTTAATTAAAATACTGTTGTCAACAAGCGACGTTTACAGTGCGACCGGGAAAACCGTGAACGCTTGAAATATCTCGGGAATGTTCATGGTGTTATGACCAATCACAGCAAAGATCAGGACACGCGAACGGGCCACAAAACCGCAAACTAATTAACGTTCTTGCTTACGGTTTAGATTTTTCACGCCTGATTGGCTTATTTCTTGCGACAGAAAAACATTCCAGAAATATTTCTGGTGTTTACGGTTTTCCAACTTCATGATTTCAACTCTGTCACGCAATTCTGTTAAGCCTGGTTTCCATATGATCGTCCGATCGACCCAGTCGTTTCAAAATATTTCGAGAGGATCCTGACGACTGGGGCGATTGGTAGTTTCCATATGATCGTCTTGATCGCCTCAAAGACAAGAGACGCGGGGTCGTCAGCGATGTCTCTGGGTCAGACAATAAAATTTTTGCGCGTGTTTTGCAAACAAGCCACATATATGGATGATTTTTATTCGTAAAGCGAACCTCGTAACTTGGTATCTGCTTTTTCCCTTGATTTTGCGACATTGAGAAGCTAGAAGAGTTCCCCGAAGACATAGTATCTTCGAAAACTTGATGTCACGGACTTTTTTCTAATTTCAAATAACCCACATACGCGCTGCGAGCACTTGTGTATTATTTTTTCGGCTTCAGCGCCATCCGGGCCGAATTTATTCTCGATTACTGGCATAAAAGTGATGACTTCTGGGATAGCCTTCGATCGTCCCGATCGTCTCAGTCGTCTGAGAGCGTTTCCATATGATCGCTTCAAAATTTACATGATCGTCCCGATCGTCCGGATACAACTCAACTCTATCCAAGCGATCGAGGTCGTCTCAGTCGTCCGGGTCGTTTGCGATCGTCTGGGTAGCGTTTCCATATGATCGTCCCGATCGTCTGAACATTTTTTGAGACGACTTGGACGATCGGGACGATCCGGACGATTATATGGAAACCAGGCTTTAATCATTGTCCGCGATCGCTTTTTACAACACGCCACTTATAGTTGCTCTTTGTTTTACTCTATTACAGGTTTCATACAATAATTGCAAGCCATCTGCTCATATCGAAGCTTCAGAATTGCAAAAAGTGACTTATAACGCCAATCAAAGTACATTTATATTTTCTTGATTTTATAGCCACCCTAGAGCAGGCGGTGTGCGTCCGAGATTCGACCAATCAGAATGCGTCATTTGTAGAGTGATTTTCGCTCTTGGAAAGAGGTAGTTTCGAAAACGAAGCACTCGTTCGTTTTCGAGATTTGGGTGCTTCGTTTTCGAGATTTGGGTGCTTCGTGCTTCAGTCTTCGTTTTCGAGTGTTTCGTTTTCGAAACTACCCTTGGAAAGAGCCGTTTTCAGAGGTATATGTGGTGTAATTTTCGCTTTATTCTATTCCAAGCTTGTGTTGGTAATTTCGACACTATACAGCCGTGGAAAGTTCTTGGAACACTTTATCTTGATAGCAGTTGCATTAGTTTTCAATATTCTTTCTTGAGCGTTTGTGACAATTTTGAATTGCTCGGTCATGTGCAAGCCGCCATGATGATTTGAGTGTTATTTTCTCCTTTCTCCTTGGATTCATTGCTGGTTACTGTTAGCGGTTTTATCGGATTATTTCGGTCATCTTGTTACTTCAACCTTTCTTCTTTGGACATTTGGGGTCTACCCGGGTCTCTTTAAAAGTGTCTTGGAATGAAGAGATTGTCTCAGCCAAAAAGAACTCCCGGCAAACGGGTTGAGTAACTTGCCGAAGCGAAAGCCGACGTGAAGCGAGTAACGCAAAATCCAGGAAGAGTTTGTTTCATTTTAATCCAAAAAAAGGTAAATAAGTTTGAAAATTGTGATAACCTTTGGAAACAAAACATTTTTCATAACCCAGTACGGAAACTGAAAGCGTGTCTTTGAAATCATTTGCATGCAGTGTGTGCTATGTGTATGCAAATCCTCACGTAAATTTACGCGAGGGAATATATCTCAACCAAAACACAAAACCGTTTATCGAAGATCTAGACAACATCATACAGGATTTTAAAACTGTGAGGTTAGGTTTATGACAAAATCGATACACTGCGCTCACTTCAATGATCGTACAGACAAGATTGCGGTTTAATTATTTCTACGGCCGTAGCTTCGGTGAAATTCCTCTTGTGCTGTAGCTGTTCGGGCGCTACTAATGGTCTGTTTTAGCCTTGCCCATAGAATATTTGTTTGCTTATAAAGATTAAAAACTGTCACTGTTTGAAAAATGATATAAAATTGTCGATGAAAGTTAAATTCTTATGAGAGACGATGCGAGATTACTCACCTTGCTCTTTCTTCGCGCTCCCCCTCCTTGCCCGGTTAATAAAGTCCATCAGACCTTACTATTAAATGGACGAATTTTTTATTTAAGCAAATCCAGGAATGAGCTACAGATCTTTTTCACTCTTCTGAGACAGAAATATACATATAAGCACAGCACTAAACAGTACCTAAAATCTTCCGAGAGGCAGGAAATCGCCGCCTAAAATCAGCTAAAATCGCACCTTCGTTCGTCTCCGAATCGCGATAAACTTATTGAAATTACCTTATGAAGCCAATAGCAAGCATCTAAGGCCAGTATGAGATCTTGAAAATTCTCCAAATCGCTCTCCTCCATAATGTTTATCAGAAAAGGAAGCAGTGTTTTGATCCCGGGTTTTGATTCATCTCTCTCACGAGACGGGAACTTGACCATGTCACGATTGAAATGAGGCACATTAACAGTTTTACCCATGAACCTTTGTGGGTCGTGACGCACACCGCCTGACCCTAGTGGGCCTCCCAGGGGGAGTCCTTGTTCCCCTGTTCCCTTCAAACGTTTGCTTTAGTTTGTTCCCTTGTTCCCACCTATATTCAGAACTTGTTACCTGCTTTTCTACTGTACGCACCTTACACCGCCCCCTCCCCCCTCCCCCAACATCCTCTTCTCCTTTCGCGTGCTGCTCTCGCGCGACTTCTCGAGACTCCCCCAAATGGAGAGCTTGCTGGCAGACTAAGCCTTACCCTTCGCTTAAACCCACCCCTGTACGCTCAATGTTTCATCATCAGCTGCATCTTTAGAGTCTCCGCCGATTTGAAAATTCCAGAAAAACATTGACTGAGAGTTGTTTAGGTTTCTCTTGTAAAACGCAATAGACAAATGACGCAGTAAAAGCAAATTGCTAAAAAAGAAAAGGCACATCATAGGAACAAACCTGACTGGCTGTGACCAATTTGTCCATTTCCTTAGCTTAGACATGTTATTTCGAAATTGGCAGATTAATTTTCCTGGTTGACTGTTGAATCAAGATAGCCAGGGCTAGATAAACATCACCCACAGATTAAAACAGGGCAGTGTGACGAAAGACGATGGTGGAAGTAACCTAGACTGAGAAAGTAAGATCACTCTTGTTTATCCTTTAGTGATTAAAGACTGGTCTGTCAGTGCTCCGAACAGCTATCTTGCAGGCGGTATGAGCTACGCAGATGGGAAACTGACTGTGCCTGTCACTGGACTGTACTATATCTACCTGCATGCCTACCAAAACAGCTATGGAAGAGTCTTGGTTAATGTGAATGACGCTCCCGTGGCCTTGATTAATGCCCCTTCTCCGCCGGCCATTGAACAGTTTGCCTCGCAGGTGGGCGGTCTTTTCAACTTGAAAGAAAATGACGAAATCTCGTTTACTTCGCATTGGAACGGCTGCGTGCTTTACATGGCTAGCAAGCATACCTTTTTTGGCGCCTATTTGGTTGAACTGGGAATTTGATGAATATTGCATGGCAACTGCACCATAACCTCACAAATTAAGGGAATAAAATATTATTTTTAAAGCTGACTGAAACGACATGTTCTAGAGGAACTTTTGTTCAAAAACGTTTCTAAATAATGGGCTTTTGTCGCAGTAGTAGATGCGCTAAAACCGAAAAAAAGTAAAAACAGGTCATCACGGCTCGGTTTTTACCTTAGTAGCATACGCTGTTTTGCAGGAGATCTGTAATGGATATTTTAAGGCTGAAACAAATAAAAGGATGGTACTAAAGCTGTGTGGATCAGTTAGTAAAACTAAAACAGAATATTATTAGAGGGTGTTAAGGGAACGCTTCGATTTTTTTTCAATTAAATAAATCTAGTGGAATGCTTTCATGAAATCCTCCTAGAAAAATAACGAGGGAAGGGGGGAGGGGAGAGAAGGGGGAAAGATGGATAAGATTGGTTAACACAAAGAAAGAAGCGCACACTTCCCCTTACCTCCCTAATGAGTAAATAGCCCGCAGTGTATTTTGCCCCGAGCGAGCTCCAGAAAGCTTGGTTTTCATTTGTCGGGAATACCAAAGACGAAAGGGTACTTTACAGTTATCCGACCGTCTCAGATTTTGTCGACAACGAAAGCTCGAAATCGTAGATATCCCTGATCGTCTGTGATGGTCAGGGTCATATCAGGAAAATCCGGAGCGTTTCTATTTTCCCGGCGCGTCCCAGAATTACTGCGCTGGTTGGCGATCAGAAATAGATAGATAGATAGATAGATAGATAGATAGATAGATAGATAGATAGATAGATAGATAGATAGATAGATAGATAGATAGATAGATAGATAGATAGATTTTTCCAACATGTAAATAGGACATTCAATGTCATTTTTGATTCTTTTAAGTCTCACTGCCTAACTAATGCCAGTATCAACAGAATGTGCCGCAGCATTACTATCTTTTAGATACCCTAGTACTATAATTTATTCAATTTCTCATAACCAGCTGGCGTTTTGCTCCCTCCAATATAATAGTGTCAGTTCTGACAATTCTCTGTTTTCATTGTCACGCCATCAAAAATAAAAATGCAAACTATTCAATACAGAAAGTCTAGAACCTGGGAAATGAAAGAAGATAAATATGCAAAGAGCCTTGCCAAGAATCATTTCTGTGCAATCTTTCGTTTGCGAAATATTCGGAAAAACCTTTTTAAGCAAATTTTTGAAGCTTTGTATGGAGACGTCATGTTTGTGTCCCTTCTCAGGGGCACAAATATGGCCGCCATTAACTAACAGAAACATCTGATTTTGAGTTTTCCTACTAATGCGTGAATTCTTCGCTTGAGGAACTCATGAAGATAAAAGTAATGTTTATTCTCAGACAAGGAATGTTTAGATAGCAAAATCTCCCAAAATCGGTAATGTTTTTACCCTACATAAGACCTTTCTGGCCTTCAGCTGAATGCCGCCTCACGCAAAAGCCAGGAAAATTCAAGCGTCCTCTATCGCAAAACGAAGAACCCTTTCGAGCCGAAAATTTGTTTGCATGAAGATGTTAAGGTGCTGTAATACTTCATGAAAGTAGAAACTCAGAAGAATCGATAGTTTCTTAGTTTGAATTTTGGTGACGTCATGTGAAAAGCAAGACAAGCAAGCCAAGTACAAGTTATCGACAAAGGAAGGGGCTGAAACCGGTAAGGCCTGGGGATGAGGTTGCGTTAGCTCAGTTGTTTTGGTAGGTCTAAAGGAAATGGCGGGAAATTTCACCCGTTTCACGAAGACGAAATAGCCAAATTTTGCCCTATAAAATAGAAAAAAAACAGCAAAATATATCTCACCGGAAATTAACCATATTTAAAGAAGAATCTCCGTTAGACTAAAGATCCCTTTACATGTCTAGCTGATTGTTTTTGAAAACCAGCCTAAAGAAATTTGCCATCATTTGAGTAAAAAGGCCTCAAAAAGCGGGTTTCTTAGGCTGATAATCTCCAAAATCACACTAACGAAGGAAAAGGAAAGGAGAAAACGAAAGAGCGAGGAGGTAGAAAGTCGTAGAGGAGAAAAAAGCAATGGTTGCTCAATAACTGTTGGACACAAAAGGTCCATTTGGCGATAACCTTTCAAAAAATCCGGCTAGATGTTTATCCTGAGGAACCGAGAAGCAAACAAACGGGAACCTGTTTTAAAAGAGGAATTATTTTGAATGAACGATAAAACAACTGCTGGACTCGGTTTCTACTGGATGGGAATATGGGCATATGCCAAAAAAAAAAGGAAAAACAACCTACCAGCAATAACAGGAAAACTGAAATCTCCCACTTCTTTGTAACTGTAGGCTGCCATGCGAATCTGATATCTTGAGAATATGGAAAGGTTGGAAATTACTAAAGACGTCTGAGAGGCATTTTGTATCTTTATTATTTTCTCGAATGGGGCCAAAGGCGGTTCACGCGAACTTCCAGTTTCTACAATATGAAGTTTATATCCGCTGATGGTCCTATTGTTATCAAGAATTTCCCACGTCACTTTAACAGCAGTTGGACTGTAGTACATTTCTATAAGTAGTTGTGGAATGCTGATGCGAACTAAGAAAAGGAAAGTAAGTATTTTATTAATGAAAGTGAGTAGAAATAAATCATAAATTTATGATGGCCTGAGTATCAGGCGTTAAAATCGCCTCTCAACTAATCCCTTAGTATTTTCCAATATTCAGGCTAAAGTGATTAATACTAGTTGGTAACTCCTCTTCCTCGCTGTCCTAAATCCAAAAACGACTATCTCCAGTGGCCTCTCTTAGATCCTCAAAATAATCTCTGGCTTACCCATCATAGTTGCAAATGTAAATCACAAGCTAACGGCTTACCCCTCACCTCCCTTATGACCGTTCGGTTCGATTCACGATTCTTTGCTTCCAAGTTTCGATTTTGGTTCGATTTTTGTACATCTTTTCCAGGGTGCCCTTAGTGAGTTATTATATTGTAAAATCGGAATCCAGAACGCTTAAATTGTGCGTTTATGATTGACGAGCAAAGACGATAGCATTTCGTGCGCCATTTTGTGTTGCCTGGTAAAAATGCTGTCCTTCAACCACCCCTTGAGAATTTCCAAATAAGGCAAACTACGTGCGACACGCTCTTTGTCAGGTTCTCAAACATGGCGACGAACCAAGCGACTGTGAATCCTCCTGTCTCTGCATGTTGTTTACATTACGCGTTATGTTATAAGAATTAAGAAACATTTACATAATCGAATCGAAATAATCGAAATCGAATCGAACCGCAAGGAATATGAATCGTTACATCCCTACATTCTTGGGGGACTGGGGGACCTGATGAACGCGTGACTAAGCCCTGAGACCCTCATATTCAAAACACCGGTGTAAAAAGGGACACCGTAAAGTAAACTGTCTTTCTATTATATGCATCTCCTTCATCATTCATTTTCCTTCAGTTCGACCAACTTATAATTATCATTTACGGCTTCAATGACGTCATCACGGCATCGTCGTGGTCGTCTTCATAATCATTGTTCCCCTCATTGTCACTCCAAATGCTGCCCTCCACTGAAACATTCGTATCATGTCATGCGTAATAAATTAACATAATTATACCACAACTTACCGCTTTTTTCCGCGGTTGTCACATAGAAGCAAGTAGTTCTGTTACCATCTCCAATTCTTGTAAAACCAGCCAGTTGTATACAGTACTTCGTAGACGCATCAAGGTTCAGTAGATCAACACTCAACTGATCAGTTCCTACCGTCACGTTGTTGTATTGCGACAAGGGCTCAACAGCTTTTCCGTAATATACTCTGAAGCCTAGAAGTATTCCAGGGATAAATTCCGCGGGAATAGTGTCCCACTGAACGTAGATAGTGCTGGAGCTTGTACTGTTAGCCGATATGTTTAAGGGAGAGTCAAGAGGAACTACAAAGAATGTTACGAGAAACTTAGGAAATAGTTATTTCTATTAAGACAGGATATTACTCTTGTTCTGTATGAAGCCAGTCGAGGTTATCTATTGAGATAAAATGTGACACAACAAAGCAAGAGTAATAGGTTCTAATGATTTCTAAAATAATGGGAAAACAATTTTGATCGCTTCAGATATTTTCTATTACTAACAAGGAAAGTTTGTTTCCTACCGTCTTCATCTGTGCTTATGCAAAGAACTTGCGTTTCGTTACCGATTCCCATTCTGTTGAACGCCACACCCCAAACGCAATAGTTGGTAAATTTCTCTAAACCTACGATATCCAATCTAACTGAGTTCGCCTCTGCAATTTGCTCTCCACTTTCAATGCTACGAGATACGCGATGAGGACGGGCATTTCTTTCGTAAAATATTTTATATCCAAGGATAACTCCTCGTCTGTGTTCCGATGGCAATCGATCCCAAGCGACGCCTATGGTGGTGGAGCTTGTAAAAAAGATGGAAAAATTCTGGGGAGGTGCAGTCGGAACTAAGTAAATAAAACATAACGCAGTACCGTAAAACGGGATAAACTGTTTTCACTTACAGACAGAATAACAACTCTGTAAGAAGAACTAGATCTCGATGGATCAGACAAGGTCAGAGGGCATTAAGTACATAAGTCAGCTGTTCCCTTTAAAAGAAAAATCCTTTTATTTAGAGATTAACTTTTTAAAGGTTTCTTTCATTCGAACAATTCGCTAATCATTTGTTTGTTGAGTGGACTGGGCAGTATTCGTTTAACAAAAGGGCCAATTAACTATAGAAAAACGCCAACAAAGAATGAACTGTGGCAAAGTAGGCGGCGTGGTTACGGAAACAACAGTCATAGATATATAATTATAATTGGGCTCAGAGATTCGCTCTCTTAGCTCATTCTCTCTTGAAAACACTGAGATCCACCAATGAAGTAGCGTTTCTAGTGCAAAATACTTAGCGTCCTTAGAGACGTTCGGATTGAATAAACTGTGTGCAAGCTTAGGAAATTAACATAAGCAGGGATCAGAAAGCTCTCTGACTTGTTAAAAATATAGTTTATATAAGAACGAAACGTTCTGTAGAACTCGACAGCTTTCATAGTCTTTCNTCTTAGCTCATTCTCTCTTGAAAACACTGAGATCCACCAATGAAGTAGCGTTTCTAGTGCAAAATACTTAGCGTCCTTAGAGACGTTCGGATTGAATAAACTGTGTGCAAGCTTAGGAAATTAACATAAGCAGGGATCAGAAAGCTCTCTGACTTGTTAAAAATATAGTTTATATAAGAACGAAACGTTCTGTAGAACTCGACAGCTTTCATAGTCTTTCGCTATATCGATCATTAGTTTTGAATTTGCTTATTACATTTAGGTTTCGGTTGGGCCAAATTGTGAAATGTATATGTAACCGATCGCTGCATACTTTATAGCTTTGACAAATACGTCCAGTTCGCAGTATTCTCTCAGTAAACATCCAACAGGGATTAATGTTCGTCTTACCTGCTTCCTCTGTTGTTATGAAGAGACATTGGCTTGTGCTACTAACTTTTCTTTCAGTAAATGAAGCAATCCCGATGCAATAGTTCGTAAACACATACAAACTGGTCAATTCTGTTGTGTAAAAATCCGCTGATGAACACAGAACGTAATTAACCTCCTGGTCCAAACTGTGTTCTCTGTAACTCACTCTGTAGCCGGTAAAGTTATCGTCCGGTGGCTTACCAGAAAAAGTCGAGTCCCATGTAACATTAATGGATGACGAACTTGTGTTGTAGGCAACAATGTTTGACGGAGGGTCTAAGAAAATAAGCATAAACAAGCCCTATTACATGAAATTTTGGCCATGCTGAAAACTAACCTGAGTCGTGTCTCAAATACAGGTCAATTTTCCACAAGTCAGAATACAGGTCACCATGTAGCCTGCAGTGCACGCGTATTTTGGGTGGGCGAAACCTTGTTCGTGTTCGTGTTCGTATTGTTGTAGCCGCCATCTTTGATTTTATGACAGTGGAAGAGGGGGAAAAAAATAGTCTTCTCTTCTTTCTCCCCGCCGATTTCCCGCCCCCTCCCCGCTCCCTTTGACTCGCCCGATTTCCTCCTCTCTTCGGCAAGTTTCAACATGGCGCTTTCGGGAGAATTTAAAACATTTGCACGCCCGAAGGAAACGCCTGCACTGCAGGCTAGTCACCATGATACAAATAAATGCATAGCATTAAAAGTGTCTGCTAGCCCAAATCCCCAGTTACCAAAATGCTCTGTTTGATCGAGGAGAATCTGTGTGGTTTGGTGATTTATCGATGGAGCAGCTAGTGACCTGTACCCTTGAACTGTGGAATGTCACCTGTGTTAGACCCGGCCACTAAAATGTTTTCTCGCCACCTGTGTATGGAACGGTTAGATAGAATTCTTGGTGTGTATAATAATTTCTGAAGCTTTCATGAATTGATTTACTGCAACACCTTGAAACTTAAGACAAAAAAGTCCCCTTTACAACATTCACTGTTTCGAAGTTATGCCAATTTTTCCAAATTAATGCGAACCATACATACCTCTCTGAATAGTACATTTTAGTTTGAATCTTATTGCATCTTTTGAATGTAAAACATTGACAATATTCACACTGAAATGTACTGGTCTTGGAGGTATGTATGGTCCGCATTAATTTGGAAAAATTAGCCTAACGTCAAAACAGGGAATGTTGTAACGCGGATATTTTGAATTCAAACATACCTGATTTCGGCTAATTACACCCGCACACTTGATAAGTTCCTGGTGTCGGATTTTCAGTTAAGTACCGGTGGGTCTAGATCGCCCAAAATTTGGCTTTTATTGATTTCAAAGTTTTTTGTTTATTGTTGCCGTATAGTGAAATCGGTCACGCAGTCAGCGGAGAAAATTTTATGCGATCGGACAAGGATAAAATCACTTTTAAGGCAGCTGAGGCCTCAAATGTAACAAATGACCCTAAATGTAATAAAGGTCCTAAGTGTAATAACTTTTGGCCCTAAATGTAATAAAGGTCCTAAGTGTGACAACTTTTGACCCTGAATGCAATAAAGGTCCCAAGTGTAACTCTTTCAGCTTTTTATATGCTTAGGGTGATAAGACGATTTCATAGCGTTTGCTTTTAGCCTTATTTCAGGTTAACTGAGCGCCAGAATGTGTCTAGGGAATATCAAACACTAAATGCCCCAGGCAGATCCCCTATATAGCCATTTGAGTAACAATTTATTATTCAGTTATTGATATCACTAGTAATCTGAGTTGACACTACAGCTGCCCCCGCTCTGTAAATAGTATTCTTGCTCCCTGTGTAGCTCTTTGAAATATACCGATTCATAATGAAGATGTTCACACATATTACATACAATAGGTGAGATAAATACAGAAAATAAACGCGAGGTTCCATGCACAGTTTCGGTTCGATTTACACAGCTGTGATCAAAACATAATCATTCTCAGTTTCAAGAATAGTTTATTCTAAACCATAAGAAAAGATTTAATTAGAAGTTTAATTTTTCGCTATTTCTATTTCACTTTTTACATTTAGTCCATTTCATTTGCCGGAAAGTAACTAAGCCTTAGAAATTAAAAGTACGTTTGATCAATTCACGCTTGAACATTCTAGTCTTATTTTAAACTTTATAGCGGATGGACATCTGTGAGGAGGGAATAAGTCAGCACAGAATTTGATGGTCGGCGAATTTCTGTAATCGTCCATCGTTCTGCTAGTGATAAGCTAGCCCGTTGAATCATTCACTCGTCTTGCTTGTTTTGGGCCGAGTCTTAATCTTATTCCGGTCAAAGAGAGAGAAAGAGTGTCTGGCAAGGTTCAGCTGGAGGTTTCCAATCAAAGATTTGTGAACTCGAGTCTGGCAAGCTCACTTAGTGTCAAAATATACACTGTTCTACGCACCTTTTAACTTCATCTGCACTTAACGAGTGTCTTTTGGTCCATAACTTTCACAACAACTGCTCCACAGAATGTCACTGATAACACGTAACGCAAAAGAGTATCGAAGTGTTGACCGCACAATTAATGTCACAAAATCTGCCTATTGTAAGCTGTTCCTTCGGGATTTTTTGTGTTTTACATCATCCTAACAATTTCGTACTTGCGGGCGCAAACAATAGAAACGTCATCATTACCTACCGATTCCTCGCGGCCCCTGTTCGAGCAAATCGAGATTTTTTTTGGTATACTGACTGCATATTTAAACTGTAAGTACTGTCCTTAATATGAGTTACTAGGGTGCCTCCTCGGGATTTCGCCCCTGGGCAAAATCCCTGCGGGGGCAATTATCACTGTTATTTTTATTGTCATTATTAACTGAAAAGAGTGTTTAATCGAAGTGAATTGTAAATAGTCCTTTGACCGAATAGTGATTAATTGTAAATGGGTTTAATAGTTATCAATTGTTATCAAAATACTTCTTTAACGACAACTTGAAAACAGAGGTCCATGATATGAAGCAAATTTTTTTAAGAACTCTTTACTGTCAAAAAAGGACTGACGTATCTTAAAACTTGTGTAAAAAAACAAAAGAGCCTCGTTTATTATAGTAAATTTTCTCAAGAAATTGTAACTTCATCCATTGGATTGAACTAAAAAAAACTGTTTCACAGGCAAAGGCCAAAAATGTCAAAATTGCAGCCTGTAGTGTCACCATGATTTCTAATCTGACTCAATAACACAACATCAGCTAAACTGTTTTTACTTTGTCTGTTAACAAATAGGTGCAAGCAAGTGTACTTTAATTGCTCCCTCGTCCTTTCCACCATACATTGGTAACATAAAACCAAGTTCCAACCCCAGCAAACAACAGCTCAACCCACCGCGCCTTTATCCATCTGGGGCTGGCTATTATCTCTTTAAGAGCCGTCACAAATCCACTGTATGGGCCAAATTCTTTGCACAACTTGCGCAAGCTGAAACAGCAACTTCGCGCAGTGTCGCGATTGTTGTAGCTTATTCGTGGTAGCCAACAAATATAACGCATTGTGAGTTCTTTAAAGGTTTCACCAAGCTGGCTAAGGGAATTATAGGTGATAATAATACTTATCGTTCCAGTTAACGCGAAGTCTATTATTTTGTCGAGTATTTCATTTGGAAGTTGACTGGTTGGGCCACCATTATCATCACAATCACAATCATCATTTTCTTCTTCTTCTTCTTCTTCTTCTTATTCTTCTTCTTCTTCTTCTTCTTCTTCTTCTTCTTCTTCTTCTTCTTCTTCTTCTTCTTCTTCTTCTTCTTCTTCTTCTTCTTCTTCTTCTTCTTCTTCTTCTTCTTCTTCTTCTTCTTCTTCTTCTTCTTCGCTCTAAAAAAAGATTTTGGGTCTTCAAAGTAGAGTTCCTTATAATACTCGCTAGAAAAACAGGAAAGCCAGCTGTTATTTGAAAATGTCATTTCATTCATGTGGTGAAATCCTGGAAAAAAAGTTAGCATAAAAATTCACTTTAAGAAGTACTCCTGGTAGAAATTAAAATCAAAGTCCGGATGTCAGAAAAACTATAAAGATATACTGCCCTTAATATCTTGCTGTTTATATATAACTTCGTGTTCACAGCATTCTGTATGGACCGACCGACATACTCTTTTGGAAAATGGTAAAAAAAAAAAAATTCTTTTTTTGACGCAACATTAAAAAAACCCATAGGCAATAGTAGTCAATTTACCACGATTGTTTCCAATGAACATTAATACTTCCTTCAATTACTAAGTTACTACTGTATTTTGAAAACTTGTGTAGATTCCATTTGTTTATAACTCGCGTTTTACGATGTAGGGATGCAGTAGGAAACACGATCGAGACGTAGTTAAGTGTTTCTCCTACTTCTTGAGCGCTCTAGCCGCTTTCTAAGTTAATGAATATCTATGAAGACTACAACAGGGCGAAGAAAGTGAATCGTCAGCTGGCTATAACATTAATATCGTCGCATGTTTCAGTCAGGGACTTTATTAAGCTTGGGGCTGTTATAATACATGTATACATGTATACTGTTAAGACTATATTTAGGGCTAAAACCTATTACACATATAATTAGACCCTTTATTACAATTAGGGCCAAAAGTTATTACACTTAGGACCTTTATTACATTTAGGGTCATTTATTACATTTGAGGCCTCAACTTGCTGATCTTCTGTTACGGATTTGGTCTCCAAAAATGGTTCCAGCTAATAAATAAAATTTTGATATTTTTTTGATAGATAGATTTTTTTATCCCAAGAAATGTCCTAAATTATATGATAATGGTTATTATTATAATAACTACTACATAGTTACACTATCCCGTGTTGGTCAGGTAGTCAGTAATCATTAACCTGGTTGATTGTGAATGGATTAATTGTTGTTGCTGTTTACATCAATAGCAGGCGGCTTTCCAGGTCACGGCGGGAACAATGGACACCGAGGAGAATTTTTAGAATGGTCTAGAAATATCCAATACTCTAAAGCAAGTCTTTATTTGATAATTTATCCTTAGTCAGGGCACCCAACGACTGCCGTTTTCTGTGAAATATCTGTTCATAGAAGCAAAAATTGCCTTGAACTTTCTAAAGCTTGAGGAAGGCTAACAAATTCTAAATGACCGTTTCATTCATGTACAATTTTCAAAGTTGATCTAATAAATTCCCTGCGATTTTCTGAAGTTTAATTTTTCCCATTTCACTCCCCAGGATAAGCTACTTTTCGTAGAGAAAGACAAATAAATTTTCGGAATCGAAAATGCGATGCAGTGAGGAATCAGAAAAATTCTCTCTTTCGTAAAACAATTAATAGCAGCTAACATTTTTCGGGAAAATAATACCG